TATGCTTTTAAAAACTTTTCAGGCTGTAGTCACATACTGTTCAATTGCACACCGCAACGTGAATGATTTAGGATTCCATGATTGCCTAATTGCTGATATAGCCAAGCTAGCTGAAACATCTTCCATTACAAAGCAGATTTTCGTTTCAAATCATGTCAATCCGTCTTGTCATGTCAAAGATGTGATTGATAATTTAACCTTACCATATCTTCGAAGATGTCTGTTGTTACAGAAACTTCTCAAATGTTCTGAAATTTCACCTTCCCCTTTAAGGGTTGATGACTTTGATAAATCAATAGGTACCTCTGATTTCCAGGAGGATGCTGGTATGCTGGGGAATAGGGATGAGACTAATGAATTATGCAACATTTTTAGAATTCCTCCACTGGATATTGTTCTTAAAGATGGAGGTCTACGTTCAATGATGTTTAAATGGTTTCATCATTTTTCTAAGGACTTTGAGGATCAACGTGTTCACCGTACTCTGTATTCAACTCCAGCTGTTCCATTTCAGCTGATACGTCTTCCTGCTGTTTACCAGGATCTTGTGCAGAGGTTTTTGTTTGCTTTGTCTGAATTTTCTTTTTCTTTTTTTATTTTTCAAAATTTATTTATTTTCAAACTACAGTGGGTGATTTCAGAATTGATTTTAGTTTGCTAATTCTACTCAAAATAAAAATCTCTAGAAGCTAGTTAGCTAGATAAGTTCACGCTTTAGTGTCATGAGTAGGGTGGTCTATTGTCATTGTTGCTGTTAAGTTTAACTGAAACTGATTTTTTTATGTGTATTGCTTAAATAAAGGTAAAATTCTCTATGATATAAGGCTGCTTGATTAATTCAGGTATATAAAAGTTCCATGTCCAATCTGTGGGACTGTGCAAATTGAACCTGCCTTGTGCCTTTTGTGTGGTAGATTATGCTCTCCAGCCAGGAATTCTTGCTGCAGGTTAGTATCGCTTTTTCCATTCTTATTGAATCAGTAGAGAATAATGATATTTTTTTTGACTCAAACTGTAAATTTTAATTGATATCTGATATTATCATTGTATCTAGTGGAAGCGAATGCCAAGCTCATGCAATGTCATGTGGTGCTGGGACTGGGGTGTTCCTTTTAATTAGGGTAAGGATTCCATGACCTGTTGCAGGCGATTATTTTCATTGTTCTCTCTTTTTCTTGGGACTACATGCCTACCTCCTCCACCTTATTTTTGTGTGGATTTTCACTAAGATTTTTTTTTTTTTTTTAAACCCCTGTGAATAGAAAACAACAATTTTACTTCAGCGAAATGTACGCAAAGCTCTTTGGCCTTCGCCTTACCTTGATGCATATGGTGAAGAGGTAACAATAAAATATCAGAAGATTTCATTATGCAAGTATTTGTTCTGTCAAAGTCCAGTGAAGTATAGCTAATGGTTTCTTTCTGTGAAATGCTTTTACTCACTGTATGTCTACACTCTGATTAAGTCAACATGCTCATGTTTCAGTTAATCCATAAGGCGGACTGATAGACTGGTTTTATTGCTATATGTCGAGAAAATTACAAAGTTGATTTAGGTTTCCATCGTCTTAATTTCATTTTCCATTACTCGTATTTTATCCACAGGATGCTCAAATGCGTAGGGGCAAGCCACTGTATCTAATGAGGAGCGGTATGCTGCTTTGACGTACATGGTGAGGGCTGAAATTTTAAAATCATTTTGTTGCTCCATTGTCATATGGTTTTTTATTTTGACAGCCATTGTCATACATTAATACTGCATTTCTATTTCAAGTTCTTGTACACTAACACTTTTTCATTTAGGTGGCTTCTCATGGCCTTGATCAAAGCTCCGAAATTCTTCGTCAAACAACAATTGGTCCCTACTCCTTGGTTTAATTCTCAGAAAAAGCTCTGGTTGTGTGGTACACTACTATCCTTGTGTATTTTCTTTGTGTAGATTTACCCTACTTTAAAGTCAGATGCATAGTTGTAACCTTCAAGCGATCATTGCAGATGAGCTGACATGAAAAGCGAGAACGATGTATAGGAGATGAAGACTTCGTTGGTTCCCTGTCCACACCTCAAACCCTGATGACAACATACTTAGTTTTGACCTGCAGCGCCCTTGTAAAATTCAACCATGTAAGCTTTCTTCACAAACTGCTTTTGCAAAAAGATAAAAGTGTCTTGCAGTTTGGGGTTTTGGAGCTGTGACTTGATGCCGAATGCCCGAATGTATATATAGACCAACTAATGTTTGTGAAAATTTTCATATACTATTCTCCTTGTTCTTACCAATTATGCAATGGTAGATCCTACAATCTAGAAAATGATAGTAATAATAGTATCATGCTCCCAAAAGAACAAATAGTTCTAAAGCCGGGATATAATTTGTATCAATGATGTTTTGTTATGCTTTACGTACTCCATGAATCTGTTTATAAATTTACACTATTTTCTAAAACGTTTCAGGTAATTATATACTCGTATGTGATTACAACCATTGAAGAAAGGGAAATTCTTGTAAGATATATGCATATACGTAATTGTATATATTATTGGCAAACTTGTAAATAATTGCAAAGTTTTTGCTTTTGTTAATTTGTGATTTTTGATATACCACAAATTGTGATTTTTATGTACAAATTTGATGTTTGGTACAACATTTGATTTGAAACATAAAACATACAAAGTATTAATCCTTATACATTCAATACTTGTCCTCCTCAAAAGCCCCATCAATGAATTTACTAAAACAACCTTAAATGTTTAGCCAACTAACCAAAATATTGCATGATGTACCTTTACCTCTATACCTAGGCAATTTTAATTATACAACTGGTTGTACCTTACATGGTGCAACCAAGGATATATCAGTAATATTTGTTCATTTACATAAAATCTGCTCATTGCACAATTTGCTCATTCGCAATTTGCATGAAATGAGAGCAATTTTTTTAGGGCGCCCCCATTCATCTTTATGATGAACGTGGTTCGTTTATCTTGTGGCAAAAGAGTAAATAAGAAGAACAGTAACATTACCACGTAAGAGCTGAGGTGTAGTATAATGGTTTCAATGTGGCATGAAGACTTGGATTGCAGTACATGTGGCTTTGACGCCAAATATAACTCCGTTTCCTGATGCAAATTGGTTGGCAGCAGTGTTTGGGTGATAAATGTTTGACCTTTTAGCACATGGTAAGTAGTTGGAGTTCTTGTTTGTTCGATACAATTAGTTCAAAGCGGAACAATAGTGAACAAGAATGACGATTTTGAGTGAGGCGCCAAGTGTATCAGCTTGAATCTTGTTCGTGAACATATTTCAGCCACCTAGTATGTTTTATTATCAGTTGTTGTATAGTTTCGCAGGTATTGGGTAGTTGAAAAGCATGCTGCGTGTGTATAGAATTGTATACTAGGTGGTTGGTGCTACATGTATTTTGATTAGTATGCTGGTTTTACTTATAGACTTGTAGTTAATTGATTTCTCATTTTTATTAGTATATATGATTACTAATTTGAACAGATATTCATAATAAGATTATGTAAATTGAAATTTATTGAGTGTATCTTAACTTATTACGTAGGAAAGTTTGGCATTATTCAATATATGAAGATGTAAATGATTTCGGCGTTAATCATATAATAATCATGAATTGGTTATATTAGTTTCGGGTATTAATACAGAATTGTGTATGTATTAGTGTTATCGATTCATAAACTTCAAAAAAAAAATTACCCATTTTAGGCTAAGAATCCCTTTGCTATGGATGACAATATTTAAAAAATTTAGGAATAAAACATAAAATCAATAAATTACTAGAGGGCGATTACTATGTAACTCTTGGATAAATGGGGAAATCAACAAAAAATTATTACTATTAATGGATATCTAATAAGTTGATCAGCAAATGAAAACAATTTCTTAGACGTTGTAAGAAAATATATATTTTTTCGGATTCCAAATGTATTTGTATATAAACATAATTACACTAATTAGTTACTGTAAATCCTATTTCGTGTTTGTGAGATATTGGTTGTATGTATCAAGTTCTCATGAGAAGTGTTTAATATGGATTTGCGTGATGAGTGTGTGTGCAACTCTGTAAGTATAAGTTGGTTGCAATGGATAGTGGTCTTATCTCCGACAATCAGGTCTGGTAATGAAAATGGAGTGTGTGATATGGGCAGCGGGGTTAGAGGACGTGATATTGGAATTCATCAGGCGCCTGCAAATTAAATAACATTGATCGTTGTACATCTAGTGTTGGTGTGATTGTTCCATCAGTTGGGGTAGGTGGAGGTTTTACTTCTTCCGCTTGCATTAATGTTGAAAGTATTGATTTGAGCGTACCCATAGGGAGTTTTGAGATATCAGAAACAGTGGTGGGAAGTAATCAGAATAGTATTGTCACAGTGGAAGAACCAAAAGTAGGGATGGTCTTTACATCATGGCAAGATGTCGAAGCATTTTACAAAGAATACGGTGAGAAAAAGGGTTTTGGTGTGAGTAAGGTTTAGGGTGTGTTATCGAAAGGCGAGAGGAGGCATAGAATATCTACAACATGGCGGTGTGAGTGTTATGGTAGGCCTGATATGAGGGCGCAAAGGGAGGCCAGAAAGAGGGAAAAGGCTATGGGTGTATGTGGTTCAGGTGGAGTTGTTGGTGGATTGGAGTTTGAGGATGAGCCGAGTCGCAGTAAAAGGAGGTATAAGAAGTGTGACTATAAAGAAAAGGTTTATGCTAGCTTGAATCGCAGGGGCAGTGGGAAATTAAGGGCGTTGAGTTGGAACATACAAACCACACACCTAAACCTATTGATGCAAAGCTTGTGAAAGAATATCGAATGAAAAACTTTAATTCTAGGGCTAGAAAGAGGTTAGAGAATTATTTTAACTTGGGTGTACCTGTGTCTCAAATTCATGGTTGTTTTAGCAAAGAGATGGGAGGCTCGAACCCTTTGTCTTACACTGTCAAAGACCTTTAACATGGGGTAACCAAAAGCAGGAGATTAAAGATGGATGGGGGTGATTCTGTAGCAATGATGACATATTTTCAGGAGATGCAAGCTGCCAATCACAACTTTTTTCACTCTCAATGGTTGGATGCGGAGGGAAGGCTGAAAGACGTGTTGTGGGTGGATGCTCGTAGCAGGGCTGCATATGAGGAGTTTGGAGATGTCGTATGTTTTGATGCAACCTATCTGACAAATCCAAACGACCTTCCATTTGTTAATTTTGTGGGGGTAAATCACCACGGGCAGTCCATATTGCTAGGATGTGCTCTTGTATCCCATGAAGATTGTGACACGTACCGGTGGGTGTTTCGGCAATGGTTACACTGTATGAACGATACCCCGCCCAAAGCTATACTCACTGATCAGGCTGCTTCTATGAGGAAGCCACTTGAAGAGGTGATGCCAACTTCCCAACATCGGTGGTGCATATGGCACATAATGTGAAAGATTCCTGAAAAACTGGGCAAATGTGAAAGGTTAAATGAATTATTTTTTTTATATTCACCAAATTTAACATGTTGCGTTTGATATAATGAATAACACTGATGTATGTCTGATAGGTACCAATACCTGAAAGTTGAGTTGAAGAAAGTTGTATATGAAAGTATTACAGTAATGGAGTTCGAGAACAGATGGAATGCGTTAATTGTTGAGTACAAGTTGCAAAACAATGATTGGCTATGCGATCTATATTTGGAACGTCATATGTGGGTATCTGCTTTCATGATACACTACTTTTGGGTGGGTATGAAGACAACACAGAGGGTGGAAAGTATAAATAGTTTCTTTGACGGTTTCCTTACGCGCAACACAAAGTTGTATGAATTTCCACAAAAGTATGCAGCAGCAATGGATAAACGAGTTGGAGATGAGACGGATGCTGATGCAAAATGCTCGAAGTACATTCGAAGACTCGTAAGTGGTTTCAGTGTGGAAGCTGTGTTTCAGAAGATATATACTGACACCAAGTTCCAAGAGGTGCAAAATGAATGTACACGTATGATGTTTAGCTACCCACGGGAAGAGATACAAGTGTCTGATACACTTATTCAGTATTTGATTGAAGACCGTGTTTGGGTTGTGCCTGAGGGTAAAAGTGAGGACGTTATCACAGACAGGAAAATGTTTTATTCTGCCACCTTCAACACGGAAACAAAAGTCATATGTTGTGATTGTCGGAAATTTGAGACTAGTGGCATTATTTGCAGGCACATCATTAGGATTCTAGAACATAAATAAGTTGTTGACATCCCCCAACAATATATTCTGAATAGGTGGAGGAAAGATATACTAAGGAAGCACACATGCGTGAAGGTTTCTTACTATATATGACCCGGAGAAGACATTGGTGGGGAAAAGATATAATCATATAATACACTAATGAATGCGTTTGAGCCAATATGTGAGGAGGCTGCCATGGTGAACGACGAGGCAGTTACAATGGTGCTTGATTCTCTTGAGAAACTTAAGTCAGAAGTTGGTCAATGCAGCAAGCGAAAGTTAGAGCAAACATTCCCGTTAATGTACCCGGAAGACAATGTTCCACCTTGTCAACCAACTTCGGATGACTTTGGTACAACAACTACGTTGCCACAACCAATTGATATGGGAGTTAAAGATCCCTTGCCCAAGAAAAGGGGAAGGGGAGGCCCAAAGGTTCTCGCAACAAGGGACTAGCAGAGATTGGATATAAGAAGCCACGACAGAAGAAGGTTGTCCAGGTACTATGAATCTATGATTGTCTTTGTTTCTTTCGAAAGGTTTTATTTCTTCTCCTTTTTAGTTGTCTATTACATTTTTTTAAAATAAAACTTAAATAAAATAAAATAATGTTACTAATGGAGTTCTTCTAATCACTCCCAGGCTAACCCTTATTCGGATAACGTTGACACCTGTAGGGAATAATTTCAAGCCTTTAGAAATCCCACTAGCTCAAACCCCACTGTGATCATACACTAAAGTACGGTGGCGTCCAAAAGGGAAGAAGATAGAGCAAAAGAGTCGCCAACAAGTTTTTAAGGAACTTGTAAACCGTTCACGAGGTGAAGGTTACACCCCTTAACGATCCAAGAGATCGTCAACTCCATAAGGTCATGAACCAAATAAGGGTTCGGGGATGATGGTACAAATCCAACCTAAAAGAGATTGAATCTGCCCTAATAATAGGCCTCTACTTTATTCTGCTCGTATTCATGTGCGCTTTCTGACTAACATACAATCAATAGGATTAACCCTAAACCTGTTTAATCTATGTTGGTTGAATATTAATGCACAAATAAACTATTATTGGTGATCACTTGAATTATAATCACAATTAACCTAACAAGATTATTAATATCTTATTAAGCGTGATTGCAAATACCAATTCCCTTTAAACATACATAAAAGGTGATCAAGCAATAACAATATAAAATAATATGCATATCAAGCAACATAATCAATAATCAACATCATTAATAATAATCATAATCAATCAATGATAATTAATATTAGGAAGAGCATAGGAAACATCATACTTTTAATCATACTTAATATTAAAGATACCCTAGACATGATACTAGGAATCATAAATAACAATCTAAGCATGATATCTACATCATGAAATCAATTGAACCATCAAAGTACTTACTTGGATGCCTCGTACCTCTTTCTAATAACAAAATACACACGTTAGTAACTTCAAGGAAAAATAATAATTAAAACAATTAAATTAAATAATTGAAAGAAAGATTTGGGACCAAACCCTCAGAAATTAAAACCTTTCACGTCTAGGGCGAAGGCAACTTCGAATATGGCTAGGTGTTTCTAGATCTTGTGAATGCGGAATTTTGTATGAAAAAGTAAGGTTCATAAAAGAATGCTAAAAGATTAATGTTATTGAAAATTGATGAATGAATGATGTATGAAGAGAGTTGATGAATGAAAAGAATTGATTAAAACTTAAGAATAAAGAGAATTGGTAATCATAAAGTGATTGTTGATGAATGAAACCGGAGTTTTTGATATGATATTTATAGAGAAAATCATCCAAAAAAGATAATTTATCAAAACAGAGTCTGAAGATCGCAAAACCACATTGGCGCCAGGACCAGTGGCTAGCGCCAGGCGCCAATGGCTGGCGTCTGGCGCCAATCCTAATTCCAGGCGCCAAGGCCTGGGGTTAGACGCCAAACCGGATTTCAATGCGTTTTCGAAAATCTGATAAATTTCCCGTACTGGAAGATAAAATAATATAATTTCAGTCGAAAATGCTATTTGATCTAATTAAAACTCTGAAGAGTCCTAATTGAATTAAGAATGATAAGACCTTCTAGAAGACCAAATCCATTCCTAATTACATTAGGAATGATAAATCATATTAGGCCCTCCCCTAGATCATTGGGCCGTACTTAAAGCTCAAACCAGGCCCAGTTTAGTAAATTGGCCATAAATTCCTCAATATTCATCGGAATTGGGCTTAAAATATATCGTTGGAAAGGTCTTTGCAAGCCCTATCCAACTACACCACTATTGGACCCATATCATGGACCAACCAAACTGTATTGGCTGTTTTCTTAAAATAAAGTTTTCAAAAACAAAGAGAAGAGAAAAGAAATAAAACTTTTCGCAACACTAGACCTTTCCACACTTTCGTTTCATTCGATTATGATTCGACGTGAAAGGTACTCATCACTGGGTTTGGTTTTGGGGAGACAAATGGGTGTCTACAGAAGCCCCCACTTTGACTGAGTTTGGAGAAACGCAAGTTTCGAAAACAAAAGTCAAAGTATCGATAGGGACGGAGAATGATTCAGAACGTTCTGCGATCCCAAATCAATCTTATAACGCCGATACCTACAAAACTAGCATTAGTTAAACAGATAAAAGAGTTAAGAAACGTGTATCTTGCACCGTCGAGCACACGTCTCTGAAAGTAACCTATTGCTGCTGTTGATGTTGCTGTTAACGACCTCCTGCAAGCTAGAGAATGTCATCCCGCTTGAAAACTGCTACGCCTTGTAACTGCTTCCAATTAGAAGATTGCTTCGCCTGAAACTACCTTCTCCGCTGTGATAATATTCCACGTCCAAGGGAACATCATCGAAAATTATTTCTCTTGAAATAATTCTCATCCGCATTATGATCATCTTCCATGCCTCAGGAACTATGATCGAAGACAATTTCGCCCTGAAATTACCTTCAGTTGTTTGTGACAACTTTCCGCAAGCTAGGGAATGATGTCGAAGACATCTTCTCTTGAAGTCATCCTCATTTGATGCGATAATCTCCCAAAGGAAAATACCGAAGATCCACGCCTGTCGATCTTTAAAAGTTCGCCTGAACTTTGCTTGTGCTATGCCTGTATGTCGGCGCTCTTTGCTCTTAAACCTGTATGTCGGTGCTTTATGCTCTTGAACCTATATGTCGGTGCTTTTTGCTAATGAGCCAATGCATAGGCGCTTTAAGCTAAGTGAGACGATCTTTTTATCAGGTCGATCACTTTACGTAATCAAGCCGATTACCTAATCATGTCAAATTTCTTAGAGGGGCTAACTGGCGTATCAAGGAACCCAAAATATATTGCAGAAGGATAGCACAACCCCAACAGGTGGCTGGCTGCTTTGGCGTCGCTGAAAATCAATCAGCGCCAGCCTTACGGCATTAACGCCATGCGCTGAAATTGGCGTCTGGCGCCAAGCACGGAATGTGACTCCAATGCCTAGGGACTGGCGCCAGCACGGGAATCACTTTAAATTCCCGTTTTCAGTTCATTTCGTGCTCTGGTTTGTTGCGAACGCTGCTCGAAAGAAGTCGAAACTTCAATTGATCGTTGCTCATTCGTTTCTCAACCGAATTCGCTCAAATTTGTTGCAAATCAAAGATCTTCTCATCCATATTCCCGATCTATGTAAGTTTCCCTCCAACTCACTCCGGTTTTTTATGAATTTTTGGCATGTTCATTCACGAATTTTAAGAAAATTCGAAACTTATAATGCTCAATGTGCTTTGTTTATCAAGTTTTATGCCATGAAATTGCTTGTTTATGTTTGTATATTGCCTTGGGAGTAATTTGAGACTTGTTTGACTCAATTTGGTGAAGAAATGAGCAATCCGCCATTGTTGGACCTCCTAAGGTCGTGAAGAACAATGTGACCTGTTCTTGTTGTTTTTGCTAGCAATTCTTGTTCACCTTGTCACAATAATCACTATAGTATTGCAAGAAATTGTTTGATTGCTTGAAAAAATGTTGTCATGCTCAATTTGAATTTGTGCTCTGTTTTAGTACTACATACTCTGTTTTTGCGAACATAGTATCATGCGGCTAGGCAAACCTTTAGATACTATAGAACCTTAATTTATGATGATTTTGCACAATGTAGCATGGCTAGACAACGAGGCTCAGGTTCACGGTCCCGAAACACTAGACGGGAGCATGAGCCCGTGGAGGACGACACTACACCGTCCACTTCGCTTGGTCAGTTCCCAAAGTGGGATGAGAAGACCTTGTTCTTTGCCCCTGTCCACCACATTACTGAGAGGGTGAGACGGGGAACCGAGCCTGGGAGGACACGGCATCACGGCTCTGGCTGTGATGGTCTAGGCGATTTGTATAGGATGCATATCGCCAGAGATCGAGAGACGAGACTCCTATGGGAACTGACCAGCTTGGCCTATACTGACTTCGTTCACGCACTGAGGGACTCGTGTCGCCATCGGTCCTTTAGGACGAACGTTGCTCTGTCTGCTTTCTGGAAAGTCGTAGAGGTAAACATTATTCCCTATAAAGCTTAGCCCTATATGTTAGGCAGCATTTACTCATGCTTTAGCTTTTTTGTAGATCTGGTTCTATGAGTACTTTCCTTCCATTGCGCCGGCGAGACCATCGCCGAGGGGGTATCCGGTGAGCGCCTCTTGGGGCGGCCACCATGTGGACCTGTCTACTGCACGTGTCCGGAGTCGGATCATCTCGGTACGAATTTTGGTGCTTATCTTGCTCTTCTGCGACGTTTTAGACATGTTCTTACCCGATTGGTATTTTTATAGAGACCTGAGGTAGTATACCGACCATGGGGTGGTTGGACAGTCCCTGGATTAGCTGCACAGTACTCTGCTGAGCGCCGTTACTTTCTGGGGACCTACGGAGCGGTTGTGTACTTAGGAGAGAGAGTCGCCAGACAACACTCTTCCGATGCTTTTGTCGTTCCTACTCCTCCACCACGCCACATGTTCGACGAGAGAGAGTTTTTGAGCATGGTTGA